TAGTCATAAAGTCTTCTTAATCTACTTTGTCCTGAATGTGACTTGGTGGCACCTGAAGGCACCCCTGCGTGCGAATATCATAAAAAAAAGCAACGTTCCATAATACCCACACGCTTTCTAGCAAAAGCAATGCACCCTATGGAATACAATTGCAGCTCGAGCCGGCGTCCGCCAATAGCCAAACAAAAAACTGATATGTCTAGATATAGTATAGCGTATGTCAAGGCGATTCCTTGCATAGTCACAGCATACTTTATATATAAAGTGGCTGGAAAGGTTAACCTCAACGGCCACAGACAGGGCTATAAACTGTATACGACGGAATCGACATGTAGATAAACGAACCATATCAGCCCCTTAATATAAAAGGTCGGCGCCATTTCTGATCATCAACACGATTATGGATAGTCAGAATCATGGCAACATTTGCGCAGGGTCAGAAACATATTCCTGGCCTGATGAAGAGTCGCTACCCTAGTCCGGCTTCAACTCTAAGTCTGCCTTTGGACCCTGATTTGCATTTCCGTCCGTAGAGACGGAATTCATATGATACAGTACTAGTCTTGCGCTGTTCTATTTCAAAGACTACCCGTCAATAATGCTTGCAACATGGGCAGATTCACGGGTGAGGTATCTATATTTAGATCTATAAGAAGGAGCATAAATGCTTTGCACTGGATATTATCGTTTTTTATATACGCCTATCAGTACAGCGTTGTGAGAATGTATAGATGCGACGTATTGGCGTCGGATGAGTCGCAGGTAGTAATTGATAATTGTAGAAACTGGATGATGTTTATTTTTGTAGACCCTAATTAGCGATTTCAACGAAAAACTGTAACTTGGCCCGCCATCACCTTCACATAGGCCAGCATCAACACGCGACTATTGTAATATTGTTGTGGAAAATTGGCCTCCCTATGCCCCTTTCACGATCAAATTCAATAGCTTGTACATGACTAATATTAATGCCAGTGGATATTTACTTCTATTAGCGTTAGGCTAGATAAGAATCAAAGGTTGTTGTCTGACCTGAGAAGTTTCCAAGAGCCAAATGTACGCATATATAGGAAAAAAAGATGATCGGTTCACCAGCGGACTGATCCATATGTTGAATATGAATAAATTGTTCAGTTATTATCAGTAACTCATAGGCAAGTGTAAAGGGGCGTTAAGGCTACGTAGCACGATACGCCACACATTTGTAACATTTATATCCAGCTAAATGGTCGAATGGGTACCTGTATCAATAATATATAAACGTATGCAGGGTGACATACATAGACAGCTCCATCATATCTAATGCGAAAATCATGTCGACATGTAATTGCATATGTATATACAAACAGGACATAGTCTTCGACATTTAGGCGCTGTAACGACACAGCCGTTCCGCAAAGCTGAGTTCCCCAATCAATATTGACAAAAAAATAATAGATCAAAATACTGGCCAGTCGACCAAGTTACCGACCGACGGATCTGCATCTACGAATCAACAAAAAACAAAGTCTTCAACCACCAGCGCAACAACTGTATTCTTAAAAAGCACGATGATATATTTAATGTGCCGAGAAACATTGACGGTTTGGTCAAAGAGAGTATGTCGCCAGCCCCATTATATGGCCGTACTGTGCCCCCTATTTATCTTTACGAGTATATGTGCGCCAGTCATCTTTTCATAGCCGGATCGGTAACTCATGAGATACATGGACACAAATACCCCTGTTAATACTTATTTCTCGTAGTCGATAAAGACTTTTCGCACTTCTGCGGCAATAGAGAAGTGGTCACATTCTCTTCCGTTGTTTTTTTGGATCAAGTTGTTTGCCCTAGACGACGAACGAAAATAACCAAGCATCAGCAATGGCAGAAGTATTCATTTTAGCAGCCGTAATGGTTGGTAATAAATGCTGTATTTTTGCCGGACGTCACAGTTCTTAAAATGTTCCTTTATGCTCTTTTTTTTTTTTTTTTTTTTCGTTACTTAAATGTGCATTTTGACTATAACCATCACAAGTTAGAACGATACGTTTGGTTCAGGAAGCAAATGTAGTCTATGTTAAGGACGTGCTAGAACAGGAGCAATCTAGCAATTCAATAGAATATATAAATACAAAGAAAAGGACCAAGTAGTCAAAATGATGTGTTGACTGTAATGCTTAGAAGTTGGAATATCGTCAAATTGATTATGGCCTTAACAATAAAAAGTGCTATGTTGTTAGATGGGATGCTTTTATCTTAGTTTTGTAGAACAATTTTTTTCGCAACAGTATTACCATCGTCATCGTCTTCATCGTCGTCGTCGTCTTCAGTAGCTAAAGCTTCATTTATTATTCTTAGTGAAAGCTACGCAGACTTCGCTCGCATATAGAGGATGTTATGCCTCTAGAACTCTACATCTTTTAGATAGTGGATTCACTATAGACACACAAGCATGTAAAAAAATGTAGCATTTTGTAGCGCTGTAATGGATGGATGGATCATTTTCAATTTTTTATTGCAGCAGAGACACGTTCATGTAACGTAAGGGGTAATTTTTCATCTCTAAATAGTTTATCTTTTTATGGACAAGATTAAAAGGAAAGCTATTAAGCTAGATGTTTGGAAAGCTGTTTCTTCTATTTATCTATAAGAATATATATATCCCTGATGACGTCTGTGGGTCAAACAATGAGGTCCGTTTTCGAAATGAATCTATTTCAAGTCGACCCAAAGTCAACCTGATCCATAGGCGTTAATGCCCGGTAAGACATCGGTTTATTGTTCGCTTATACTACAGCGTCTCGAGGCAAGTCACCCATTGTGAACTGAGTGAATCCAGCCAACTCGTAAATGTAACTAAAACGGCGGGAAGAGGTTAACTTGAGTTCGTCGACGAGACCAGACTATATCTATCTATATTTAGCGCAGCAGGTCATTTTCTTTAACATATAAAACGAATAGATGGACCCTGGAACAAATACAGTAACTTGGTCCTTTTCACGAACGTAACTTGAATTATGACGTTGCTCAAAAGCGTTAAATGTGACATTACTATGCACCGTTGTTTTTCAGAAGTCAGTAGTTTTTGTGTGTTGCTACAAACTTGAAACCGATAGTGGGTGGGATGTCAATTGGCCGAAGCGGCAGACGCGCATCAACTTACATACGCTGGATAGACGCGTAACGAGAACGCTTTAGCAGAATTTATCAGAACAGGCCTGGAAACGCTTGTGTGTGCTACATCTCGGATATCCGATCTGCGAATAATTAAGATATATGAAGTTATTGCTGCAGCGAACTAACTTTGCTAGGCGTACCAGAGTGTTTACGAGAGAGAGATATATTAGAGTCTGAAGTGGACCTACCAAATATTTGAAACAAATTGTTATGAATTTTACGGTCTACCGCTGCCCTCGGTGTGACTGCTAATATAAATGTGAATTTTGCCGAGTAAGAATAAGGCAAAACGATACATATTATCATAATACTTTTAAATTTATATCAGTATTTTTTTAGCTGAGATTTTATTAGGCTAAAAAGGTGTCGTCAACTTTACAGGCACAGAAAACAGCGCTCTATTTATATAGCGCTAGATATATTGCGTTAACAGTATAACGTATAAATAATATTTTGAATTTATGATAAAATGATGGATTTCAGCGTAATCTAATGTTGATTTTCTAGAATTTGGCTCTAGGGCAATTTTAGTCACTGCGCACGGCACTGCCATCGTATGCAAATCAGAATAGAAATAGTTATGAAGCACATTAACAATATAGCGAGCTGTTGAAGCGAGCGAAACGAAGTCACAGGCTGTTCATAGAATACTTTTATCGATAAATCACGGCGTTTCTTTTGTGCTTTTTTAGATGTTAGCCGAACTTCTCTAACCGGAAACACCATCGTTGCGCTAATTCTTATTTGTTATTAAAGACAATGCTTTATAAAGAAGAGATTATCATGAATAAGTCATTTCAATGCATTGCATGAACATTTTTCGGTGACCAATTTCAGGCTCATCTTTTTTCTGTTTTAGTAATGATAACTTATGGAAAATGTGTACAATCGCAGTACAACTGTATCAAAGTACGGTTCGTACGTAATTAGGCTACGGCATACAGTCTGATCTCTCTCAAGCCGTGATGATATAGCAGCTATTACTAATAATGTAGCTAATGGAAAGGCCGACAGGATCATTTTATTGGCCAAGAATGACTTCCTATTATAAGGCTAGTATGATCTTTTTGTGCTTGAGTTGTTGAATCAACAGCGAAAGCTTTAAAGAAGTGTTTTAGAATTCTTCGTAAAATGTATAAATCCTATGAATGAATGAATTTTGCACGTGATCACAAATACGCCCTATCAAAGTTTGGTTAACAATTGCGATGCCTGCCATTATATTTTGAACGTTATCATGTAGTTTAGACGACCACCTCTGGATTTCTTTGCAAACCACATAATTTTCAATAATTTTTTTTTCAAATATATAGAGCAAAATTATAACATTTCATTTTTATAAATGTTAGTCCTTTGTACCTTATTTTTAATTCATCTATCAGAAAAGTTCAACGCTGTTAGGCCACATGAACGAAACAATCATTGTACAGGTATCTAGGAAAATGTACGTCCGCAAAGTTTCTTCTTCACACACCGAATGGTACCATAATAAAGGCCCAATTATTGTAATTAACGCGCAACTGAAACCTTTGTATCTCTTAACCTTTTTTTAAGTAATATAATAACGATTTTCTTTATTGCGGACCCACTGTGAGTGCCTAGAGCGCGGAAAAACAGAACATCAAACTTGGTCGTCTTAAATTTTTGCCGAAGACCCAGCCAAAGATTTAAGTTAAGCACAAAATTCGTTTTAGAGTTAGTACATATTGCCTAATATTCACTCGGGAGTAGACTGGAGTAACTAGGAACTAAAGTTAAAAGAAAAAGGGTTGTGCAAAATTGAACATTCCGTTTGCTTTTATATTTATTAGATTGTACACTGCTTTAATTAATTGCTTTTGCAATTCAGACAGACATTTTTCATAACCTACAACGATTTTATCGATCTATACAGTAAGTCTTCAAGACTGTGTATAATGTGATAAGTGCCTTTAAAACTGTTTATTTTTCCTTTGAAAACTTCAACATCTAACCACAGGTGGAGTAGCTTACGAATCCATGTATTAACCAATATGTATCGCAGCAACCCAGGTTAAACTATGTAAAGTAAGCATGTACTACAATCCACCATAGCTTTGTGCTTAGAGTGCTTCAAAATTGGCCTGCACATTTTGCCGGTACGCTTCACTTACTCCTAGTTCCTTTGCACACAGCATCTTCTCATCCTATCTACCATTTTCTCCTTTATTGTCTCCCCGATCCAGCGCGGCGCCCGACTCAGTATCGATTATGCATGTACCAGTACATATAGTGGTAGGCTACCAATTTTACCCATCTTGTACATCTAAACAAGGCCTTGCGATGCTTCGCTACTCTTGACGGACCTGCAGACGCAGACCTGTTTCGAAGCCTCGATTCTCTAGCGTTTCCCTATCATGACGACAGTATTAACAAACCATTCAGTGTCACCATCCACGCCTAAAGCACTTCCCTTCTTTCCCTCTCTCTCTCTCTCTCTCTCTCCATCTCTCTCTCTCTCTCTCTCTGAAGGAGCTCACTTCTTTTCGAGCGTATGCGCCTCGACTCCTCAGTAGTAGTAATCGTCGTCGTCGTCTCCTTTGTCGTCTGCTACTCCTGCAGCGCTCTCTCTCTCTCTCGCAATCCGATCTCTCTCAAGCCCTCTCCCGATCGGGTTTCCCTCGCACTCCTCCGATGTACACAACGCTCTCCCCATCTCCCTGTTGTCGACGAGCGAGGCCACCACCTCCACCGCGGTGGTCGAGTCGTTGTTGTTGCCGTTCCCGGTGCCGTATACTCTGCCGCGTTGCGTATGCGGCCACCGGCAATTGAGCAAGACGGGCCACAGTGGCGATCTCGCTAGTTCTGGAGTATTGCACCGCTGGGGCGCACTGTCACACGGCTGGAGCTGTTCTTGTCCGTACTTGAGTAACAAAACGACAAATCGGAAGCGACACCCTGTAAAAAAGAGACACCCTGAAACAGACAGGGGCGTCGAGTCCTTGTCCTGGACCTGTGCATCGCCGGCTCTGCTAGTATGGCAATGTTTACGTTTACTGTGGCGTGGTAGTGGTAAACGGTGGCAAAGAAAGAGACAATGGTGAATCGAAGTCGAATGGCACCGAGAGTTACAGGTTTGTGGTAGCAGCGCGGCGCAAGCCCATAGTAATGCTTCAAAAATAAAACGCAGCCGGTGCGTGGAGAAGGACAGGAAGTGGATAGAAAGCGATTAGGGCAGTGGGAGGAATTGTATGCTGCTTTACAATCAGTCTGCAGCGACATTATTAACGGATGCTATTAGTAACAGTGTGGTAGATTCTTCAACTGTTGGGGAGTTGGACTGTGCAGAGCAATGATGAATTAGGACAGGTGATGACGATGACAATGATGATGGCGTTGAGAATGACGAACTGAGATTGGTAGCTTTGTATAGTGATCCCGGGTAAATTCCGGTCCGACTAAGGTATCGAAGGTGCTTTAAAGTAGAAAAAATCGATCTTCGGCTGACTCTTCGCGTACAAGGTAGGTGTGCCCGCGTGACTTAAAAGCTGCTGCTGTATGGATTACCTGCGTGATTTAGGTGCTCATGTCAGGTTTGACCTACATGTCTTTGATTGTGTACCGTATACCCGTATTATTTGTCCAGAGGAATACTCTAACTGAGTTTGATGGAAGATACTTTTTGAATGTACACCGAACGAACCGTTGCCACATTGGGCAGTCGAACGTCAAAATCTAAAATTTACTAGAGATTTAGTTTATGTTTCCTTTATTTCATGTGTTATGTATCCTTATAAAGGGATAAGAACTGCTTTTTACCAATAGTTTCAATAGTTGAGGCCGAACTCGGTTTGAATCCATACACAGCTTAAAGATGTGTGAACAATGAGCTGATCATTTTTATCATGCACCTAAAAATTTCTTGCCTCTGTGTCAGGGCTTCTTATCCAGGACAAAGCAATCATCATCGGTTTTGCTTATGTCAACACTGAATCCCGCCCTCTGTCACCGTCTAAACAGAAAAAAACGTCTGCTCATTGTGTTTAGGTCAGCTGGCTAGTCCTGCTAAAATGACTCTTTTCCAGGACAGGAAGTCCTTTGCGTTAAGTTTTATCTTCATTCGAATATAATGGGGGACCGCGAACGCGTTGCGTATGTGGTGAGAACCAACGCAAGCTGCTGTTTTCGTCGCTATCCGCTAGTTGTTTTTCCTTGATCCTTCACCGCTAATAACCGCAGGCGAGTCAACAAGAGGAAGTGAGCAGTTCAGCCGTCCAACAGCCGCTCTCAGCGTCAGCAACCGCATACGCAACTACATACGCTCAATCCCAGGAGAAACTGTGGGAAAGCGACTGATCCCCATCTGCGTACCGACGCAGAGATGCACACGCAAAATGCTCCACTGCTGATGCCATGGTCGCTGGAGTGCACCGTGTATTTGCGAGACAATAACTGTACTCTTTCGATACTGAAAGCAGGGAAAGCATTGGCGACACGGTATCCTGGTGACCATTACTTTTTGCTGTTACCGATGTCTCCGCATTGTGTTACATACAGCCATTGCTGACGCAGCTTTGTCTTAACAATCCCGATACAACAGCCACTCCTGCTGGTGCTAATAGATAACCACTGCATAGAATCATGGATGCCTGATGGATACTTTTGCCCGGGCTGTTGCGACACTGACAGCTGGGATTCCTCGGTTGCATAGCAAGCGAGCACGACTAACGAGATTGACCTGTAACAGCAAGATTACAAGAAATCTACATTGTTCACAACAACGGTTCAAATAATAAGCTCAAGCTCCATTAAATACAATACGTAGGGTCTGTATATATGTACATTTTAGTTCAAATCTATGTTATAAATTGATGGATAAATATATTTTTGTTTATTTACAAATGATAGTTATTTTTTTTGCTCAAATTTTCCTTCAAATGATAGCTTTTTTATTTTCTATTTCCGTATTTTTGACTAAGTGCTGCGTCATCCATTCGATTGATTGCCGAAGAATTAGACACAGACTCACTTACATAATCTTTGACCAGTTAAATAGTGGTTCCAAACAGATCGGAATTACAATTGTTTTACAGTTTATCAAATTTTATTACCAATTGCGCTTGCTGTGCCGTCGCATCTAATTATTATGTACGCGTTACTAGTTACACGCGTAAAACTTGTGCAGTTATAAATTCCACGATTACATGTTTCTCTACGAAAATCACTGAATATATATATCGGTCGCGTGCGTTTGAGGCCTGATTACGAGGCTCGTAAAGGCCGACGGCAGCAACGACACTGACCTACCTCGAGGTTCTGATCTAGTCTTTCATTGTGGAAACTTGTTGTTGACCTCATTCTGAACCCCGTTGATATAGGCTAACCAGAAAATCAAAGTGTCCGTAACAGATTTCGCACATCGAGTGAAAGATGATTTGTATATATGCATAGTTTTCTTGTCTAATATCTCTGTTTTTCTCAGTAGGATCAAACTGGATTGGAAAGTTATGACCGGCTACGAGAAGCTAAACGAGACCACAAATGTAAAATGTAAACTTAAAATATTACGCATTTCCATTTTCGCTCATTTGCCCTAAGGGGATAAAGCATTCCCAGTTACCTGGTAGATGTTGACATGATGAAGATACGAACACAACGTTAATGCTAATGGATAACATGCTATTTATATCGATTTCGGAATCAAGAAGGGTTTTCTTAGCGGAAGATTTTTTTTTTATATTTTTATCAGTTTTTAAAACCCTTCGCTGTTCAAATTGTGTGGACAGGCCTTCGGGATCAGTTTTTCGGTAGGCGTCAAGGACCTCATTCACTGGAAAGTCTAGCCAACGTGAACCTTACCGAACTCTGCCATAGTTTCTTTAACAGACCTATCAAACGGTACAATAATTATATGCCGTGATGGAAATTAACAATGGTCTTAGATTAAAGACGGTAAAGCGAATATGAACATGGATCTTGAAAAAAGCCATCGCACTGTTTCGCTGGGACAGTGACTGTGCTGGGTGATGCCGTCCTGCTGGGAGTTCAAGTGCCCAAAATATTTGAAAACAATTGAGAATAGCTTTATGATAGATTGCGTTCGTCCTGAACCATAGCGACGTTGCGCTGTAAAAGTCTGCTAGATGCTTTGAATAGCTAGTACTTAGTTATTCGAATCATTGGCTCCATTGTCTTTCATGCAAAAATGTGTATGTAATGGAGAGGATCCCGTACTCAAACAAATAGCTTCATCGTTTTGTAAGACCACCATCATGCCTTAATGACAAGTCAGCTCTAAGCGATAGCTAAAGCTCCTTGTAGCCATGTTACTCGATGCAATTTTTTCATTGCATAGGTACAGTTTAATCGGCACTCTCCTACAACAAAACCTCCGAAATGCGATAAACTTCAACGATTCAGACTCTAACTTTTTAAGCGTAGGCTCTTTATCGTAGGAGACGGTCCGAAACATCTTACAGAACCCCATTTACTGTCATAAGGACTTTTGAATCGATGGCTATTGCAATTAGCTTTTCTCATAACAGTTTGACATTTGGGAGTAATGCTGAACTACGACCAAATGTTTACCGTGTGTTAACTTCTTGTTTATTTTACACTATCGAGAAAAAAGCCGTCATTTCACTATTTAGCATAGAGTTTTTCCCACAAGATACTCTTGCCAATGCGATCTTACTGATTGAGCTATTTGTTAGTGGCGTATTTTCAACACTGTTTACGTGAACACGTGTTTCTATCCAGCTGAAAACAATCGTATAGAAATAAATACAATGGTTATAGCAAATGCAACGTTTTGCTTTACCAAGTGTAGTGTGTAACAGCCAGTCCGTCCGTTAGCTTCTACCGGCGCCTTCCTCCAATCCACTTTCAGTACAAATGAGTCCCTGATTTGTCTCAGTGGACTTGTAACAAAGCCTAAAGGATCAAAGAGAAAAAGCAAGCTAGCAGTTTAACTCTACCGCATAAAAAATCGCATAAAATACAAAACACTTTCAGCTTGGTTTCTTCCTCAAACAATTACTATGCTTATTACTAACAGTTATTATTGTTTTCAGCAACATACTAATGCGACGATCTGCTGTCAGCTTTATGGCCATTTTAGCGTATTTTTACGCCTTGGCCGTTAGCAGCGCTCACCATCAGCAGTTTCCATGTTGGATTCATGAAACTTTGCTCCATGCTATTGGTGTTACTGGCAGGGCTCTGGGGCAACGGTCGCTCTGGAAGCCAGACAGCTTCAGCGGCTCATAAAGTCTACAGTTTGTCTGTCGCCGGCCGCCGCCTTACCCTACTCCATTTGATTTCTCATATTCCCTCGCGTTTATTCTGTTGCTGCGTTTGCACCCTGCTGTTCGTCTTGTGACTGTTATTGTCAGCTTTGTAGCTTCTAAACGAATTTTTCGTCCGGTGAAGAAACCCAAGTATATTTGCAACAGTGTTGTACCGCATTTCGGCTACAGCTGCTGCAGCTGCTATCATTATTATTATTACTGAATCCAATTAACCAGAAATGGGCGGCTGGAGCGGTGATGACAGCGACTCTGAATCACGAAATCGACGCGAGTAAACAAACGCGTTTCAGTTTTTTTGCGGCTCCTACGTCGTTACCGCTACTCTTAGCGCGAGTGTTCGTCAGTGCTGCCGAGCGTAAATCGTCTGCTCTACACAGAGCGTGACAGATGGTCATATAGAATACTACGACACTAGCAGCAGCAGCAGCAGCGAAGACAACAACAATTACCTCAAATACGACTACTGTTGCTCCGACTAATGCCCGATAAATAACAAATACACTACTTGGGGATACTTGTATATACATATATGTATATACAAGTATCCCCTAGATACCCAAATGTTAGCTGCAATGCTGACGCAAGATTCACACATCTCATCTACTATGAAACGAATCAGATGCATATTATGGATGGTGCGTCTGTCCGTCGATTTATAGGAAGCTCTGAGGATCTCCCATAGAGGCAGCGAACATTGGCGGTTGTTGTTAAGGGACAACGCGATCAGGTCGTGACGGACAAATAGATAGACCTTATAATATTGCTTTCGAGGACTACAATATAGTTTGCGGCATGTTCTAATACACAATAATTAAATCAAGCTATATCGCTATCAGTGGCATGGAAAAGTGCAGTGAGATCAAAAATAAGACCAATTCCACTAGACAGAGACACCAAAAGGTTTTGAAGGGTTTCAACTTTTTTTTTTTTTGTTATTGCGATGTGACGACATCTGCTAATACAACATTTCCTATCGCTACGCTTGGCCTCGTTTCAAGTTTATTCCACTTGGGCCTTTTCTAATTCTGCCCGCCGTATATTCCGTACATACATAGATCGCTAGAAAGAAGGTTTCTTATCTCCAATAATTGGTTAACCACTTTACTGTATAGGTCAATTTTGTCGTTCGATGTTAAACCAGTACGTGTAGTATTTATTTGTCCGTAAACTCTTATTACACACACACACCCCACGAACGACTTGCACCGCTAA